CAAGAATGTTTTAAAAATTGCATAACATTTTGTAAAAAAAGAAGTTAGGCTATATACATAAGTAAAACAGTAATGAATCATATAAAACCAATACGCCATTGTAGTGAATGAGTTTAATAGCTATTGTTTTGTTGTTCAAATGTTTGATCTTCCTTAAAGCAAGTTAGGTACAAAACTAAACTTCTTATTATTTCATATAAAATAACTTGTTCTAGATACTGGAAGTTTATCAAGCTGTTATTTAGAATTGTGGAACTTGTAAATATTAATAATTTTCCATCTCAATGTCTATATTTCTTTCGTGCATAACATGTCAAGTGAGGCCATTTATAAAATAACAATGACGTACTTCTGCACAACAGTAAACTCTCGTACCTGAAGCATACAAAAGGTAGTTGTTTCTCTCTTAGTTTAAAAAAAATTTACCCGTTTCATTTTTTATAAAATCTATTATAATAATACTAAATTTTTGTCTGTACAGGAAATTCACGTGCACTTTACTATATAAATGTGCATGTGAGCACACGTCATTTCAATGGATGTAAACAAAAGGCAGATGTAAATATACTTCAGTAGACACTTTGTACAACAACAACATATTAAAAGCTTATTAAAGTTTTTAAAAAGATCTAATATCAGGTCACAGAATCACATTATAACACAAGTGGACTTTGAGATTTCGGTGTCTTTGATTAAAATTCTTTTGTATTATTTCTAGAATTACAGTATTTAAAGATACTAATCTGACTGGAAATGTTTTGTGGGTCTCTGCTAGTAATGATCGATTCTCTCGTTCTTGGTGAGATTTTAGAACCAGCTCTGAACATTTGTAAACATTATCAGAGAGAGTTGTCATCCTTTGTCTTGTATAAAGAATCGAGTCAATGTGTTGTTTCTAGAACTTCATCTTCAGAATAAATTGTTTCCATTTATTGTCAGTTTTATTATCCATTCGTCTTGTTTTGGTCAAGTCAAAGTTCAGGTTCATGACGTATCGTAATATATTTTCTGTGAAATTTTTACATATAATGGTTGCAACATTTACCTGTTTCAAATCAGCATTTTTTAAAATACCAAAAAGCTACATATATTTGATAAGTTTTTAAACTTTATCAGCTGCTGCAACCAGGTTTGGTGCCACGTTTTTCTGTTGCCCTGGTGTAGAGACTTATAATGAATCCCCTTAAATCTAAGTTCACCTTTATAAGAAATATAAAATGGGCAATATAGAAGAAAAAGCAAACACAGAATTGATGAAAAACACTCATTATATAATATTTTCACAAGGGTTTTAAAGGAGGTTACAGATTGCATATATGACCTATTTGCTACGGTTTTTTGCAAGTCCTTGAAAGATAGCAGAAGTTTGTAAGTTAGCTAATGTAACTCCTTTTTTGAAAGGAAATGGTAAACATTGTCCCAGTAATTATAGACATATTAGTATTAGTGGGGGAAAAAGGTTTTGAAAGTCTAGTAAAAGATGCTTGAAAGCTGTGTAAGTGGCAGGAAATTTCAACTATTGTACTTATTTATCATACGAGTATTATAAATTTTTAAGGATTTTGTAAGTAGTTTTTTTAGAGGATATGAAGTTACTGTTTATCTTCTCCTCAACTTGACAGCCTAGTATGTTTCATTGCTGTCATGTGTACTTACACCTGATTGCTCTTCTGTGCCCTATGCACTGTTTGATAGCCTAGTTTCTGTTACTTGTTTTGGTTGAAAACCCTGTAGATGTTTCCTTTCTGGCTTAAACTAAAATAATTTGCATATAAGTAGTAGCTTATTTAAAAAATTCCAATTTGACAGTCTTGCTCACTGATTTCAGTTTTGGTAGTATTTACTAAATACTGGTTTTGCAAGAATTTTACGACAGGATGGAACTGTGTTCCACCACACTAGTCTCAAGATCCATTTCAAATTAATTAAAGAAATAAATAAAACAAAATCTTAATTATTAATTTAATATGTATTTCCTAACTGTTATGATTCTGTGAATTTACTAGAAATTCTTATTTATACAGTGTTGTTATTATTTACTTCAATGATACAGTTGGCATGGCTTGGTAGTTAGGATACTTGACTCACAACCTGAGGGTTGAGGGTTTGAATCCCATCACTGAACATGCTTACCCTTTCAGCTGTGGAGGGGTTATAATGTGATGGTCAATCCCAATATTTATTGTTGAAAGAATAGCCCAAGAGTTGACTAGCTGTCTTCCTTGTAGTCTATCACTGCTAAATGAAGGATGGCTAGTGCAGATAGTCCTCATTTAGCTTTACATGAATTCAAAACAAACAAATCCATGATATAGATTGGCAATCAAATCAATATAGCTGATTATCTATGAGTATCGGTGAGTGTCACATAAAATAATTAGTATATCAAAACTACCATTAAATTGATTAATGTCACAGAAGTAATCAGTTATTGTTTTTTATTATTCCAACTGTCCAATAATGGCGATTATGATTAACTCGATTAATAGTTTTTCATTGTTATTTTCTATAAATTCAACTTTATTCAGCTTAGTTGATTAGTGTCATGACGCACGAATGTAATCAAGTAATAGAAATTAGTTTTCATTTATTATTGTTTTTGGGTATTCAAGTAATCGATATATTGACATCATGTCTGTTAAAGGCAAAGTTACACAATGAACTGTCTTTGCTCTGCCCACTATAGGTATCAAAACTTGATTTTTTAGTGTTATAAGTTTTTGTTGATTGTAATCTATTAATTGATTAGCAAATTAACACTAGTTACCAAGCTCTAATATAAATTGTATATAATTATGTATGTCGTTGATATTTTCTTTAACTTTCCTTGACAGATTGTAGCATCTGATACTGTTGGATCTTTTTTACCTCTGATATCTACAAGTTTTCATACAAGTGCTGTCTGCAGCAAGGCCCAGGCAGGAAGATACAAAGTTACAAAGAAACGAGATCGTCCTTTAACTTATGAGCAGGCCAACAAACCACATGACATTGGACATCGTAAATCCTGGAACTCGTGGAACACTAGTATGTATTTTTGGAAGTAGTTGGTTTTCCCTTTCTGCATAGTTCTCACATTTTACCAAAGACCAGTCCAACTAGGACAAAAGTTGAATGAATATTGTTAAGAAATAATCGTTTTTTGTTTAATAATGTGAAAATTATAAATGTTTATTTGGAATGGAAATTCAAATTTAAGTACAGGTTATTAGGTTTATATAATCTTTAATACATGTACTAATGTCTTTGCACCTCTCTTGAATTACACTGACAAGTATACACACTAATATGTGGCCAGTACATCATGGTTTTTTCTCTGGAAGTATTTCTATATAGTGTTCAGTTTCAATGAAAATACTTACTTATTTTCTCAGATGTAGGCTAAAACAGACATTGTTAATTTGCTACATTCCAATATGTTCTGGAACAGAATCTCTCTGATATGGTAAAGGAAGAGCATAGTTTCAAATTATTATTATTTTTTAATTAATAATTTAACTTATGGTGGCTCGGCATGGCCAGGTGGTTAGGGCACTCGATTCGTAATATGTGGGTTGCGGGTTCGAATCCCCGTCCCACCAAACATGCTCACCCTTTCAGCTGTGGGGGCTTAATAATGTGATGGTCAATCCCACTATTCATTGGTAAAAGAGTAGCCCAAGAGTTGGCGGTGGGTAGTTATGACTAGCTGCCTTCCCTCTAGTCTTACACTACTAAATTAGAGACGGCTAGTGCAGATAGCCCTCGTGTAGCTTTGCACGAAATTTGCAACAAACAAACTTAACTTACAGGCATTCAAATTATTTTTAAATAATTTGGTCAACATTGACAGTTCAGAAAAAAATACAAATGATGTATAAAACGATCCAAATACATTAATATTCTCTAAAGGTTTTAATGATTTTCTGACCTTTTTAATTCTATCTAATGTTAGTAGTTGAACCTGTTTGTCACTAATATTCTATATCCTAAAAAAATGTGACCCAATTGCTGTCGGTCATTTTGATTCTGCAGGAGGTCATATTCTATGCTTCTGTGCAAATTATTATTATTCTCATTTTCACTGCCAAGAAATATCCCATTGTTATTACTTTTTCAAATATATTGTACTAAACGGTCTTGAAACTATTAACTTGGTGTACCTACAGGAACTTTTTGTTTCGATATCAAAGACGCATGACCAGTGAACTATGTAAATGTGGTGTTGTGAGTAAGACTTGGATGTCGTAATTTAATAAAACCTGTAGGTGTACAGTTGTACATGTCGTAATGTAATAATACCTGTAGGTGTACAATTGTACATGTCGTAATGTAATAATACCTGTAGATATACAGTTGTACATGTCGTAATGTAATAATAACTGTAGATGTACAGTTGTACATGTTGTAATGTAATAATAACTAGAGGTGTATAGTTGTACATGTCGTAATGTAATAAAACCTGTAGGTGTACAGTTGTACATGTTGTAATGTAATAATAACTGTAGGTGTACAGTTGTACATGTCGTAATGTAATAATACCTGTAGGTGTACAGTTGTACATGTCGTAATGTAATAAAACCTGTAGGTGTACAGTTGTACATGTTGTAATGTAATAATAACTGTAGGTGTACAGTTGTACATGTCGTAATGTAATAATACCTGTAGGTGTACAATTGTACATGTCGTAATGTAATAATACCTGTAGATATACAGTTGTACATGTCGTAATGTAATAATAACTGTAGGTGTACAGTTGTACATGTCACAAATTTTTTGTGGATGTTGGTTTAATTGTTGCACTTGAGGAAATCTGTATGTGAATTTCTTTCTGTCTGCTAAAGTTTTTAATGTTTTCTCAGGTAATCTTTTAGATGGATTAAGGCCATCAGAAACAGCTATCGAAGACATGTTTATTCGTAAGTTCATGAGTGGAACCTGGCACAAACTCTTTTTGTCTGAAGTGATAATTAAACGAAGACACAATATGATCTTCATCGGAGGAATCGTACATCAAGCTATTCATGCTCGGAAGATGTACTTCCTGCTGGGTTATACTGAAGAAATTCTAAGTTACATTTTAAAGTGTCCAGTAAAGCTTGAACTCCAAACAGTATCTGACAGAAAAGACGTAGTATTCAAATATATCTGAGCAGCTTGTTCGAGATCGTCTGTGTGCACTGTACATTTTATAGATGCAAAGTTTGTATCGGTAGTGAGGATACTATAGCTAGAACTGGTCATTTATTTCAAGAATTACAAAAGTAAAAAGACTTAATTAGCAAAGTGTTTGATTATTAATTCCAAACAGTTGATTCAAATGAACTTACAAAGAGTTCATGTGCTCACGTACTGAACCATCCTTTCTCTATTTCTCTACAGTGTAATGAATCAACCTACATATAAAGTAAAAATCAAATCTAATCAAATGAAGCCCAGTTTATTTACAATATAAACTTAATTAAACAGATTAAAATATAACACATATATATGATATTCCTCAATTTTCAAGCCTACAGCTTTCAATATTAAGTTATTCATGTTCATAACAGATCATCGACATAGTTAAATATGTCCTTCCTACTAACTTTTTAAACAATTTTTGAAATAAACATTTTGAAAAAAAATGAATACCTGATACAAATAACCCTTACATATAACTTTTCAGAATTAGAGATTTATCTGAGTTTATAGTTATTTAAAATATACACGATCTCAAGTACGTTTGTCTAAAGTGTCTAGAATTTAGGCCCACTCCCATTATAATTTTGTGGTTACCCCATGATGATAGATGAGTTACTGTTAATATTCTAACCATAACTGATAGAAATTCAAGTGAAGAATTCGTAAAGATAAAAAATATGTTTATGTGGAATAAAACAACATAATATGAATTCACATATTGGTGATAACTAAAAATATAACAGTACTAACGTATTGAACTGTTGTTATCAAACATGCTCCAAATTCCTTTGAGTGTGTACCTTTTTGGCTTGGGCTTAATTGTAGGCCTATGTTGTATACTGTATTTGATGTTTACCCAAGTTTGAATTGTTCATATCACCGAAATGAGTTTGTTAGCAGATATTTTGTGCTTCTGTGTTTATAATGATTTCTCTGATTTAATCTTGTTAGATCAGGTATCTGGTAGTAACTTTAGGTACCACAGTTTCATTTTAAGCTGGTATAATTGTAGGTTATCAGAAATCTCTGTTTCCAGGTTCTCAAAACAACTGCCCTCAGCTAAAAGGGAAACTTTCTCCTCTGTGTCGGTTTCAAAAAGTAATTAATTAATTTGCTATTAATATGTTAATAATAAACTAAGGCACAGTAATTTCCTTCTAAGTGTCAGTCACAAGAAATAAAATTCAGTAATATGTGTAGATGCATTCTCCTATCTCAAAAAATAATTATCTTCTCTACAGCTAGCTTCAGAATATCGGCAGTTTAAACCAGATGAAGTAACTCGGTAGTTGAGACTCTTTAAAGATGATCGTATCACTTGGGTTATGCAACACTCCTGCTACTTTTCGGCAGTTGTTGGTTGTACTTATAATGTGGAAATTGTTAAGCTAACAGATGATCTCCAGCAGGAACTGAATAAGTTAAAGAGAATAGGATTAAAGCTCAAACTTAAGAATGCAACTTCAGTAAAATGTGGTCTCCTCTCATCCTGTACAGTAGGAAGAGATAGAGCTCAGTTGAGCCTGAAAAGATTCAATTCATAAGACATTGTGAGAAGCAAACAACATAAAAAGTAGTAGGAACTCAAACAAAATCCCCAGGAACTTTTCTCTGGGTTAATGAACACTGAATCTCATCTAGAAAAGCAAGAATCCCTCTTCGTCAGAACAAGATTTTTCTTTTGAGAATCTGAAGCAGGAACTGTTACTGGACCGTACCCAAGGGAAAACAGTTGTTCCCCCACTTTCTGAAAATAATCAGATCCTGCTTTCTAGAGGGTAGGGGTTACGGTTAAGTAATAAAAACATCTCAGCCAAAACTTATAAATGCAACATTTATATTTTGATGTTTTCACACTATATTATAAAATGAACTGAGTCTTATACTATCCTTGACTTTGTTGCACAAGTAATTGCTAATTCTCCAATGGCCAATTTTATAAATACTCTCCAGTCAGTCTATATTATAAACTGTCTCTCACAATTAGTCCTTTGGTCTGTATGGAGGTCTTATAGCACTCCAGGTTTGGAGAAAAACAATTTCCAATTTTATAAATACTCTCCAGTCAGTCTATATTATAAACTGTCTCTCACAATTAGTCCTTTGGTCTGTATGGAGGTCTTATAGCACTCCAGGTTTGGAGAAAAACAATTTGTTAGAGAAACTTCTGATATGTCAACTCACAGACAAGATATCCACAAGAGTAAGTAATATTATGATAAAAAAAACAGGAAGTCAGGATAGAAACGTGTGTGATAAAAGGGATTCTGAATGTTCAGAAGTTCGGCCAGGATTCTGTGACGTAAATCCAAGCATGACATCTATTGATAGAATATCTTCCTCTTTGGTATAAGACTGAGTGAACAGCCTCATGGCTGATGCTCTGTGGTTCCGTAAACCGTCGTACGGGTTGGAAAAAGATGATTACAATACACATCAGTTTCTTGTGCTAATGTTGCCAATGAATTACCTGTGGATAATAAAGTGTTCGTTATGCTGCTTAACTTACCCATACTGTCATTATGAAAGGTTATTTTGTTAAATGACAAAAGTACCAAGAATGTTTGGACATACAACTTCTACCTGAAATTAGTGAATAAATACATCCCAATCTAGAGAACCAGTGGCTTTTCTAATGAACACCACTATGTCATCTTAACATCCTGCTCTTGGTCAAGCTCCCGTTTCTGTCACAATATCGTTGACTGTGCCACAATTCTAGTGGTAGTGATGGAGTTACTGTATTTTACACAGTGAGTTTTGAACATACTACCATTCCTATATCTTGATGAATGAGTCACTTGTGAAAGTCCAATTCATGAAGAATCTACGGATGATTTCTGTAAACTTTGCCCTTCATTTAAAATCATCACTGTTTCATTTATGTAATGCAACATTCACGAATAACTGTGTGTAATGTCCATATATCTATGACACACTGCACAAGTATAATAATATAATTAGAGTATCACATACGTATATATATATATCAACATCAAATATATGCTTATAACAGGCTGTCTGGGGACTTTATTCACATTAACTATGGTAACACTAAGTGTTACTCCTGTGGATTTTCTCTCGATAGCCATGCTCCTGTCAGCTTACTACCTTCTAAGTGCTCTCTCAACATCATGAAATAAATAATACATCGATACACATTCAGAAAAGTACAAATTAAATATAATATTGAACAGCAAAATACATTTACTGTCTTAAACACCAGAAACCATATTATCTTGATACTATACTGCCATATGTGGGTGAACCCAACTACCATAAAATGAACAGACAAGATTCTAGTAAATCAAGAAATTTTACATTAAACTGACTCGTATTCTGTGCCGATTAAGATCACAATTACCTTGCTGCACATATGGAAGTCATGTACATGTTTCACGTCTTGTTTGTAAGTAATACTAAATGTTGTACTTGTATACACCATATGCACATACTTACACCTGTATGTTACGAAAGCCATCTTCAGGTGCGTCCAAAGCCACATTTAATCTCTATGCTTATGCTTTCGTTCCTCTACTGCTTTATTGTATCTCTTCTACCTTACAATAGCCTTTCCTAGCTGCTGGTGTTCAAATTCATGTGCACTAACTAATGCGCATGAATTGGTACTCTACATATATTTGTAGGTTCTGGCACATCTACTCTAGGGTTCACATCCACGGGATTTTTTTTTTTTCAGCATTCTACCAGTCAACATTTGCTTTGTTGCACAATACACTATAGTAATGTACAGTAAATGTTCTTACCAGTCAGGATTGCTAAAATTTGGAAGCATTCACTTCATAGTCCGTTTTACTTATTCTACTAAAACTATCAGATTGGTAATGATGACTGTAAAGTGTACATCTTCATAACACGTTTCACATCTCGGAAAGTATTTGGCTATTGAAATTAGCCCCTTATTTCATGTGAATTTCTTCAAGTGCTACATTATTCACCCAACACATCATTAATAGATTGTGCTAATGTGTCGACCAATGGATAAGCTTTAGTCCATTTAGTGAAGTGATTGATAATAAATAGCGTGTACTTATCACCTTATTCGGTCTTAATGAGAGGACCAGTTATATACAGGGCTATTCTTACAATGATGAACTAATAACTTTCTTTCAAAGTTTACCTAGTTTTGACCAAATGTTCCACTGAGCAACACACATAGTAAAATTTCTACATCAATGCTTGGCATTTCCAAGTGAATGTGGTCGGAATAACTGCTTTTGCACATGCACATAACACCTATGTTACGCAAATTCTGAAGTAGGTCTTGCTTGAGATCTTTGACGACTCCTATTGCAGCATAAACTGGGAATCATGTCCTGGTGGGTTATAACTGGTGGTGGGTTATAATAATAATACAACCCATATTCCTGTAATTGCTCGTAAAGATGCCACAGGTTATGTGCATCTGAATTACATTCCTTAACCTGTGGCAGTTGTGTTTCACCTTTAGCGTGACAAGCTATATCTGGGTCCTTCCCAGAGGTCCTAAAGCATCATTTGTAGAGTCCATCCCCCTAGAGGAACATTCAATATCTGGGTCCTTCCCAGAGGTCCTTATGCATCATTTGTACAATCAATATCTGGGTCCTTCCCAGAGATCCTGAAGCATCATTTGTAGAGTCCATCCCCTAGAGGAACAAGCTATATCTGGGTCCTTCCCAGAGGTCCTGAAGCATCATTTGTAGAGTCCATCCCCTAGAGGAACAAGCTATATCTGGGTCCTTCCCAGAGGTTTTAAAGCATCATTTATAGAGTCCATCCCCTAGAGGAACAATCAATATCTGGGTCCTTCCCAGAGGTCCTGAAGCATCATTTGTAGAGTCCATCCCCTAGAGTAACTAGCTATATCTGGGTCCTTCCCAGAGGTCCTGAAGCATCATTTGTAGAGTCCATCCCCTAGAGGAACAATCAATATCTGGGTCCTTCCCAGAGGTCCTGAAGCATCATTTGTAGAGTCCATCCCCTAGAGGAACAATCAATATCTGGGTCCTTCCCAGAGGCCCTGAAGCATCATTTGTAGAGTCCATCCCCTAGAGGAACAAGCTATATCTGGGTCCTTCCCAGAGATCCTGAAGCATCATTTGTAGAGTCCATTCCCTAGAGGAGTAATCATATAGTGTATGGTACAATGTCAATGCTGTTGCATAGGCATTCACTCCCGCATGTCCAGAATTAGGATAGTCAATGAATGGGAAAACTTATTATTTAGCAAGACAATTCGTTATCGTTTTCGTGTTGTTGGACAACTCATTGATGTACATCAAAGTCGTACCCTTACAACATTGTGAATCAAAGTACAATTCAGATGTTTATTGTTCATAAGCATGGTCCACATGAACGATGAACTTTCTACCACACAAGTAGTGTTGGTAATGTTTTACGAATACTACAACCGCGAGCAGTGCTGGCTTTGTTCTTCAGTATATGCATTCCCAAGCCATCAGCACATAACTAGCGTAATAATTTACATGCTCTACCCATCATGCACCTTCGACGATATTGCTCCAATTCCACTATTGCTAGAAGGAATGGACAATCTTTTCTTTGGTATGCTAAGACCAGCGCTTGTACTAAAGCACATTTCTGTGATTGAAATGCATGGTCAAAGATTTTAGTCAACCTGAAATGCATTTTGCTTTTGATCACAATATATATATATATATATATAATTATGTAGCAATCTTGGAGAAATCAGCCATTAAATATGCTGATATCACAAGATACCTTGGAGCTGCAGTTCACTTGTTTCATGATGAGTTAAGGCCAATCTCTGACAGGAACCATCAACAATGTGACTAAGGAATTTTACGTGTGTATGGACATTTTATGGTTCCAATCATTCTTATTTAATGAAGAACCATGTCCAGGTTTTCAGCAGCATAATGAAATATGCAAACAACTACCCATCAATAACATCTTGATATATCTTGATTTTTTCCTTTTCTCACAGTAGAACTACTTAATTAAATTGCATAAAGGTTTATAAACAATATTTAGTTTCGGCTTTAAAAATAATAAAATTTTATTCTGTTTTACTATAATTGTTATGCCATGAAATTTCTAAATTTATCTCGTGAGCCCCTTATTTGGGGGGGGGGATATTAAAAATACTTTTTTTTACAGAATTTTATTTATTTTTATTGTTGATCATAAGCCAATGTTATATACCCAATCAATTTCAATTTCATTGATTTTCATTAACGCATTTCTTCTGGCATTAGATTAGATAATATTTTTGCTAACAAAATGCTTTGTCGAAATCAATCTATATATAATAAATATACTTTCAATAAATTATAACTTATCTTATTTATGCACGTTATTTGAATATGGTAAAGTTAAAAATAATATTCAATAACTTGAGAAGTGCACAACAATATTCTCTAAACCTAGTAAGACTTACCTGATATTGTAGGAGAAATTTGTCATAGCTTTCATAAATGTGATTTAGTTACGAAAATAACTTGTAATGAAACTATAGAAGAATTCCAAAATCTGTGGTTTGAGCCTAAGTCTTCTGAAATTCCCACTACATTCTTTCGTTCTTTACTTGAGGTAAGTCTTGTAATTATCCCACAAGACCACAGATTCTCACCCCACTTTATAAACATTATGCAGACGTACATTGTTTATAATCTGCTTTATTTGCCCGTAGCTATTTTCAAAGTAGATCTTCATTAATGGTTGTTAGGATAAAATGATGTGAGGTAATGAAAGGGTGGGAATGTAGGCTGTACTTAATAAAATCTCTGAAAGAGCAGGAAAGTAGCGTGTGAAACAAAACGCTGATAATTATGTTATGAAAAGATAATAATTTCTTAGCAAATGTAGTGTGTGCTCTTGGATAGACAGAAAATTCTAAATAATTACAAGTGTGTTGTTTAATGTCAAGACTCCTCCGAAATATGTAGAAATGTAAATTAAAATATTTTTTACATTTCTCTGTGAATTACATTAAATAAGAATTACAAAATGAAAAAATATCAATTCTAAAATACTTTGAGCAAAAAAAAAGAAAAAGAAAAAATTAGAAACACAGTTATAATTATTATTGTTACTTAAGTTTTGAAATTTGGCATGCAGGCGTGCACTGACACCTTCAAGGTGCTCACCGATTCAGAAAGGGTTAACATTGATCATGGTTTTCTTTCGCTGTAGCTCTTTCAGTATATTATCTATCCAAAAGTGGCAGGTGCATTACATAGGATGAATGTCATGATGCAGAAATTTTATTGGCCATCTCAAGAACTGTCACCCAGCTGGATTTGCCAATATCTGAAAGCTAGTTATAAGTTGCTAAATAAACGGACATTTTCCACTACATCTAGAGATTCGTCTGTCCATGGGACCAGAAAAACGTCAGTGTGTGTGTGTCGCAATGTTCAGGCATTTAAAGTAAATACAGTTCCTTAGTGTGCCTTCCTTCTTTTTGACAGTTATCACTGATCAGGGGTGAAATTCTAAAAAAAACAAGAAAAAAAAACCCAACGTTGCGAAGTGAACCTGTTTTTGAAAAAGGAAACAAAATTACGTGTGAAAAACGACAAAGCAGCTCAAATAAGTACCGTACTAGTACTACCTTAAAAAATAAGTTCCGGTACTTAGTACCGGTAGAATTTCACTCCTGTGGCACTGATGATAACCAAACATTTTCTGAAGGCTGTGTGATTACACCCTTTAACAACTGCTGTATCTCAATACTGGCTATTTACTTAGTGCCCCAGGAAAGCCCACTTTTTGGTGGTTTTATAGGATTCTCATCACCTGTATCTATGTAGTGGTGAGTTACTTTTGTCTAATAAAAATGACCGTCTGATCCCACAAATACGTCAGCATGATCAACCTGCAATTTACGGAGTTCTTGTCCTGTATTGAATCCAGCTTGCTTGCACATTTATCAACCACTGACCTCGGATGTTCTAGTAGTATTTGCTCTTGGATATTATGCAACAGAAGCAACCCTGTTTGTACAGTTGGTCCCAGCTAATTCCACTCAGGACTGTCATTTCAATGGTCACCAAACTTGCTCACCCTTTCAGCCGTGGGGGCGTTATAACTTTACGGTGAATCCCACTATTCGTTGGTCAAAGAGTAGCCTAATAGTTGGCGGTGGGTGGTGATGACTAGCTGTCTTCTTTTTAGCTTTCACTGCTAACTTAGGGACGACTAGCGAAGGTATCCCTCGTGTAGCTTTGCGCGAAATTCAAAAATAAAATAAAACAAACAAACATTTCAATGGTGAGCTGAATAGCGAAGTGTCCATAATTGCAGATCAACACTGGGGCAGTGTTTATTAGGATAAATAACTTTTCGAGTAAGTACAACCTGCTTTCTAACAAGGAACAGCTTATTTCAAACATTTGTTCAATCACAGAAGAAAACAGTTATAGTGGTGTAGGCTTAGTCTGTAGTAAACCACAGAACACCATTTAAGCATTCGGAGATACATCTCAACATGTACTTGTGCTGTTCAGTGTTCTTAGACCTGATCTAGTTAGCACTGAATGTTTTTTCTGTTGAAATACAGTTCACCTATTGCACAGGAAAAAGTGATTGCCAGTTTCTAGACTAGGTTTACTGTCTGAACGAAAGATCTATCGTGCATTGATTTACGGGAGACAACATACAGATTTGAAATGTTATTTTTACACGCTTCTGACTTCGAATCCGCGGTGAACAAATTATGAAGAATTCGAGAAAAGATATCTGAAATTAACGTAATTTTATCACAAAGTCCAGGATTTTAACGCTTGGCCAGCTTCTGGTATTTAAATCGTAACTATATAAAATTAAAATAAAAGTAGAAAGTAGATATTTTATTTATGTTTTTTGATAATTTTCATCGTACAATAGCAGGTGGCGATGGAAAGGCGGGGATTCAGATTAATTTGCAGCAATAGCAGCAGTATTTGAAATGTTTAAAATTAAAGTTTTATTTACAGTTATTAGCTTATATTCATCATTTTCGGTAGAACATAGTAGAGTATAGGTTTAAGTTTAATAATTGATATTGTGAATGTAATCAGACGTTGATTTGATATTCAAAATAAAAGCTATTTAAACAAATCATGAGCCAAGACATATCTGGCGACTTAGTTACATATATACCAGAAAGAAAGCATGCCAAACCAAACCGCAGGGTTATGTAAGTTGTAAAATAAATACTAAAATAGTAAATCTTTGAAGCTATGTTTTACTTTAGACAAGGTGTAACTGTAATGTTACTAAAGTAAACAAAATGACACGCATGCAGTTTATTGCATGTACTTACTAGTACTAATATAGTAAATTATTTAGTAATATTACTAATAGTAATGATATGATGTAAAGAATGAAACACGAATGTGTTGAAAGATTTGGGACCTGTCACAAATGATTCACTGTTTCATGATGTTTTATGCGTAGGGGTAAAAATTAAACAAAATGTTCATAAAAAAATTGAAAACAGGTTTTTCAAAGTGAAGTATTCAATTAAAACTAAAAGGTTTACAAGTTTTGTACAGGGTGTCCCAGAAATCTGGACAAATAGGGATAGAAAAATACATAGCTTATTCTTAATTTATTTATTATTCAAATTGCATGCCATTAATAGTCATACACATATCAATTCTTAGTAAACTGTGCCATCAGGGTATTTTCTTTCCTGAAATTTGTACAACTGACATTAGAAATGTGTTTGTTTAACTTTAAGAATATAATGTTTATTTTCCCTATGGGTCCAGACTTCTGATACACCTTGTATTACAGAGGAGGAAGTAGAAATTATATCTAATAATTTTCTTACTCCAAAAAAAAACAAAACTGGCACACTGATTTACAATCTCAACGTTTTTATACTTCAGCCTTCACAACCAAAGCCAACTTAGATAAACTATAACACTTTATTTTATAACTTTTCTGTTGTAAGTATTATTATTATAAATATAAAATACTTTCGTTAATGCTGAATTTTTCTGAAATCTTTACAAAATTAACTGGTGAGTATGGTATTCATAGTGGAACTGCATTCTATGTAGAAATATCTTAGACTAAGTTAGAATATTACTTGTTTGTAGGTAATAATTGTTAACATGTATTAAGTGTAGGAATGACAACAACTTGTGTTGACATTCTTATATTCATTATATTTACAATAATAGATAAGTACACAATACCGTATAAAATCACTTACAATAAAGTTTAAATCCACACTAAGAAATTTATATGAATACAAATTTTGACATTTCACAATGTCCAATATTTGTTCATGGATTTAAACTTCATTATATCTACCTTCCACAACCTGTCATTATAGAGATAATTACACTATTTAAACATGAGATCTCACATCTAACAAGCTTACTGTTATTATATACATAACTTGTTAACAGTTAAATGAGCAAATGTTTCCACAGTCTAATTCTTTAACTACTGCTAACTAAGTGAGCCACAATTCCATTTCAGTCAAATGAGATCTACCACCATATTTATGTGCATTTATCAGTTTTGTGACATATTTTCTATGTTTATTGCACTAACACATGTAATATACTCTTCAAGCACTAAAGCCCTTGAATAAACTATGTACAAGTAATAATAATTCAGTACTAGCATCTCAATTTAACGAAGTGAATACCAGAATGCTTAAATAAACCACAGTTTACTCAACATTTTCAAATGACACTGTGGCTACAGTCTATTCGGATATTGACTTACTGGGAATATCTCATATTTTCTCTTTAACAACAAAGGGTAAGAGGTGAGCTTATTGAGTTTTATACAATTAATGTTTAGCTAAAGACTGACTTCTTTGTTTTGTATTCTGAAGACAATAAGGTGTGACAAAAGTTTAAGATTTGGAACAGAAAGATTAGGTTCCAGTTAAAGCAGTTTTATTTCACTAACAGTGAAGGCTGGTACCTTACAAGAGATTAAGAGAGAAAAATCAAGGGTGTGTTTACATGTCAATTTTTAATATTTTTCAGGGGGCATGAATACAAAGACAGGGCCAAATAGTCTCTTGTTGTCCATATGTTGAATTTATAATAATGCTGTAAGAATGAAAATGTAAAAAGTTTTTTCATCAGTTTTATTATTATTGATTATAAGTTATTCAGTATATCAATCACCAGTACACAAGTAAAAAGGTGTGGTGAACTATCTATTTACATATTATCAATAATTTCTAATCAACCGCATTTACTGGAATTTATAAAAAAAAATAACACAGCTCGTCTTATATAATTTTTTTCTGTCACAGAAAGCGACAAACAACTCTTCGACCTTTCACCATTAGACTACCTTCTGCACAACAGACTTCTCAAAAGAATGTAAGTTCATAAAAATGAAAAAACCACAAAGCTTTTATCTTTTTAAATTATCAGTCCAGCCTCTCAAGTTTCAAGCTGTAATAACTTAAAATAAAAATAATTTTAGTCTTTATTTAAAGCACAGTGTAACATTGAATGAGTTCTACCAACTCTAACTATTTCATTTGGTAAGCTGGTAATGAAAATAACAGTGTTAAAGTGAATGTTTTAAATAACCGACCTCCTTAGAGGAGATTTCAAGCTTATTCTGTTTCTTTTGTTACACAAAAGCACATCAGTGAAACAATGGAATGAGTTTTCCTTGTGCTTGTGATAGTTCATCAGTAAATTATGAACCTGTGAAAACAGTATTAAAGAAGATTTTATTCTAATTAGTTTTTATTCCTAAACTAATTTGTTTCACCTAAAATAGGTATTACGATGTATTTTAACTAAACTTGAAAGTTGTATTATTAAAAAAAACAACATGAGATGTTAGTAAAAATATTTCATTATTCTCTGATATGACAAGTGAATGACTAAAGTATCAAAGTTCAGTTTTAGTTCTTACGTGATATTTAAAATATGTTACTCTGTATTTCATTTTTGTATCCTCTGATAAGCACACATTGAAAACAAGAAAAGTTTAATAATTTGTTTCAATTCTATGATGTTAATTTGTTTGTACTAGGTATAAGGGTGCTAATAAATGGAGCATTTAATGATTTTGTAACCTTTTCCACATGGGTCATGGGTCAAAGGCCGTGTCATTTTAAAGGAAGGTCGTATTTCTTCTGTCAAACTGTCAGTTAATCTATTTTTTCGTTCAATTGTTGCTGAATTTTAACGAAGAATATTTTTTAAACATACTAGTAGTTTTTAAATTGCATTAGTAAAGTATTGTATATGTATAGATTTATTTGACTCCTACTGGTGTATAGTGTAGATTCAAAGATACAGTCAGTAATCATGTAGGTATACATATAAGATTTATTTGACTCCTACTGGTGTATAGTGTAGATTCAAAGATACAGTCAGTAATCATGTAGGTATACGTATAGATTTATTTGACTCCTACTGGTGTATAGTGTAGATTCAAAGATACAGTCAGTAATCATGTAGGTATATGTATAGATTTATTTGACTCCTACTGGTGTATAGTGTAGATTCAAAGATACAGTCAGTAATCATGTAGGTATATGTATAGACTTATTTGACTCCTAACTGGTGTATAGTGTAGATTCAAAGATCGATTCACTAATCATGTACGTAAATGTGTTTTGCGATAATAAATTTTGATTCACAAAAATCTGAGGACAGTTATGTTGGGATTTTGGATTTTTCATGTTTTAAAGCTGACAGTTTATAATTCTTTAAAAGAGTTTTGATTTGAAATGTCTTAGAGTTCTTTGAAAAATGTGGACTTGGTTCTACCATCTCAGTCTCCTGTTACTTCTGACAATCTTTCGCCTTCTCAAGGAATCAGCCATGGTTTTCAAAGTAAGTCCCAAATATTTTTTAACTTTATCACCTCGAGAGGTCTATGTTAGTTGTACATGCAAAGAAAAGGTTATCTAATTTATAAATGATTTTCAAAGACAAGAAGTTCTGTAAAATATATAATTTCTAACATTTTGTAACTGAATTTATATTCTCCTAATTTTACGTACTTACCTCCATTGTGTTATTCAGTTAGTCAGTATCAACCAGAAATTCTGTGGTTGTTCTGATATATTCTGTTCGGACTTTTTTGTGATACTGAAGCCAGTCCTTAAATTTGATTTTTGGCTGAAACTTCTTGAAGAAAATTATGGAATGTTTCCTTGTTTTTCTTTTAATTATCAGTAACTTGTGATCGAAAGTAAGTTAACAGATATTAGAACTGAAAAGCAACTTATAAACTACCGAAGCTAATCTGTCTGGTAAACTGACTAGACATACGTTGTCATAAATCAATACACAGTAAAAACGAAATCTATAATGATTAAAATGCATTGAGTCATCAGTATTTTGTGGCTGTAGAAAAGTTATCAGAAAAGTATTGTTCATGTGATGTTTCATCTTAATATTTTCATGCATGTTAAAAATGAGAGAAATCTTAAACTTAGCATCCTCTGTTAGGACAGGGGTAAGTTTATGGACTTATAACGCTAAAATCTTGGGTTTGATTCCCCGTGGTGGACACAGCAGGTGACCCAATTTTGTTTTGCAATAAAACAAACAAACAACCAATCTTAAACTTAACTGTATTGCATACTGTTGCTTCAGACGTTAATAATTAGCCAACACTGTTTACTGACATAATATTAAGTTAAAATTAATACAATACTGAGTGAGTATTTTACAGAGAATAACTAAGATCTAGTTCCAATATTGTTTAGGATCGGAAACAAGACAAAATGGCTTTTACTACTTTTTGTTTGATGGGTGTGGTTGCATGAGTAGGCACATGTCCAAATCTAATTATCCATGCTATTTGTCGCACATGCCACATTTCAGTTTTAAATACTCCTGACAAAAGCTGAATTGGTATCTAAGAAAATACATCTCCCATTTGTTGTGATCGTTCATGAAGCAAACGGAGAAGATTGGAGCCAAAGGCAGTGAAAACGTTTTAAGAAATTTCTGCTAATAATACAAATGTTCGTAATGTTAAAGAGTAAGTGTTATAACACATCGGTGAAAGCACCTGTTCAGTGCACGTGTACACATTCACTTGTGCATGTAAATCACCACAAAGGTATAGTATTTCTCACGGAAAAGCCTGGGCTCTGGAATTAAATTGAATAAAATTGTATGTCATTTTAACCAAATTTGTAAATTTTAATTTTATTATAATTTGAAGAACTATGAAATGGACTAATTAATGTTGAACTTAATAGAATTACCATGTTTCAACTTAATACTTAGAATAGCTTAAGCTGTTTATACCAAAATGAATGAGTTAACGAATGAGTTAATTGATGATTTTTGGGAGTTGAAAATTGTGCTTGTGCTTACAACTAATGATGGAAAATGGTTTGTACATTTTCAGGTTATTTCTTTTTACATTTTTGGAACTCGGAGTAGTAACTAGTCTCTAACTTTTGTTCTTGGTGTTGTTATAAACAAAAGTTTAATTTATTTCTGCATGCAGCATCTACACCAGTTCGACCAAAAGAGAACATTCCAAACATTGGATTTTTACCTTCTGGCTCACCTAATTTTGTACAACATTCTCCACCAGCCTCATCGCAGACAGATCAAAGAAAAGAATCATCCCTAACACGTGGGCTCCTGAGGGCTCCTGAAGTACTTGAAACACCAAAATCTGACGAGAAGCGTGAGGTTCAAGCTAAAAAACTTAGCTACTTTTGTAGTACAAGTAACTCCAATTCTCTCTCGTCTGTTATAAGAAACATACAACAAGATCTTTCCTTGTCAGTTTCTAAAAAAAACATCGTAGAAGATAAAGAAAAAAGCTTTCCATCTTCCATAATATCGGGTAATAAAGATGATTTATACAGCCACAAATCTTCAGCAACTAAAACAACTTCCAAAACTACAAAAAGTTTAGTTTCTTCTCATTCACTCAATAACAAAGGTACTGTAGTAGAAGAATTTCCATTGAAAAATGAGTTGTTTGGACAGAAAACTCATAGAAGGGTGTCATCTCTTAAGGAACCAATAGTTTCAACTAAACACCAGGACAGGCCTGAAACATCATCTGGAATTCAGGAAATATCAGAGGTAGTGAACAGCTTAAATAGATTTTCAGATAGACATCAAGAACTGAATACTAAGCCAGAACAAAGTTTTACTAAAACTTTGTCTTACCAGAAATTTTCCGGCATTTTGAAAAAGCACATTGGTGAAGAACCGAGCAATGAGAAGCTACCAGCCAGATCACAAAAACAAAATTCACCACTAGTTGAAAATGTATCTGGTAATCAGAAAAATAATAAAAGAAAGGTAGCCTTCAGAGAAGAAAGTTCTCAGAGAAATGTTAAAAAAGGCTTAGCGGTGCGAAAAACACCAGCTGGACATAATTTGAAAAAATCTCGTGTCAATGTTGGTAAAAGAAAAACATCTTTGGAACCATCACCAAGTGAAGATTTGATGAAAACTCGATCTTCAGCAAAAACCTTCCAGATTATACCAGTAAGTTCCCAATATTGTTTGTTTATGTTTGAAAAAAATTAATGCATACTCCTTGATCCTGGTATGAATGTTGAGTCAATTGGTTTTAAAGTTAAGTTTGTTTGAGGACAAACCTGAAACAGGGAAAGAGGGGAGGAATGTGGTATGAAGAACTTCTTATATAATAACTTAAATAATTAGCACCACTGAAACTTTAGTAATTCTTTGTATTTAGTATTTTGGTAAAAAAATAAACATCCAACCTTTTGGTTATCAGATGACTTTATATTTCTCTCTTGTTACAAAAAAAACTCTATAAACTTGAAATTTTTTAGCACATTGTACCGAAAAGATATTTCTCAAATAATAAGTTTGTTTGCATTTTAATGTAAAAATAGTGTTAAAAAGTACATAACCTGTACAAAATTAAATAAAACAAAAATGTTAACAAAATGACCACACAGTGTAATGCTACTTCATTGATCATTTGTTTGGCTTCAAATCCAGAAAAAAATTAAGTCTAAATGTTGTAAGAACTTATTATTTTCACACCTAAGCACAGAACGACAAAGAAATATAACCCTGTATATGCAACTGGATAAAAGTACACATGCCATGACCTTATAAAAACATTCAGAATTTGATTAAAAAGCTTTATTATCAATGTATGTTCATAAATTTGGCTTCAAAACATAGCATATTATCCACGTTTTTACCTAAGTTTCAACTTCTTAATTTCAAAATATATATATATGTTCTTACAAAAATTTCGATCTTCGTGTCATGTGGCTTATCTGCACTCTGAATTCTCCGATAGGTTTTATATCTTCTGTAAAATGACTTTCAAGAGTGTACAATTAATAAGAAACACAAACTATACATGACGAAAAGCTGGAATATAAAATTTGAACCTCCAACCTTCTTGATTTGCTGAGATTTGCTTTATAAGGAACGATTTGATAAGC